TAATGAGCTCACCTGCACGTAGGATCAGTCATATGACTTGAGAAGGTGTCCATAGGAACTGGGTCCATGGAGAGGTCAGAAATTAATAGTGACTTCCTGTGTTTGAGGCTGCAGCGACTTCGGACCTCCTCAGATACAGTGAGTAGTGCTACACAAAACAACAAAATGTTAGTTACGATATCATAGCTGTTAGAAGGGCACATCCAAACCACTTCAACTACGCAGGGTTAACAGCTCAGACATTGGTTCAACATTAATGCTAAGATCCTCTGATATCTGAGTTAGCAAACACTACCCAAGTTCCTCAACTTCATCACATGATGACCTCAAATATCCAGCAAATGAAAGGTATTTCAAATGTGTGAAAGTGCTGAAAATTGCAGTAAAACGACACTGAACATCTTATGTACCAGCCAGATAGGCCACACTCTGGGTGTTGACCTCAAACTTGTCACATTTCAGATGCTTGCTGATGAGAGCCAACAGTGTGTGAAGGATTCTCACTGTCCTTGCGACTGTGGTGGCTGATGGGTGCCTGTAGCCTGAAAGACATGTATAAAACATGCTGAGAAACAGAAAGACAGACGGCAATGGAAATGTCATTGTGTACAAAAACAATCAAACAAAATATAGTGCTGAGGGGGGACAAACCCACACACATAATAAAACGCGTTGCTTTTCACAGTCACGCTGTGTGACTTCCTTTCTTAGATACTGTAGTTAAATGCAGACAGCCATTTTTAGACATAGCACTTCCTATGTACATATTCTGAAGCTTCATTTCTAAAATCACACTGACAGCAGATTTGTGTGTCTGTTTAACTGTGTTTTTGCAGACTAAATATCTACAAACAAGTGTTTAGAATCATGACACACCAGTTTACCTTTGAGTAGGTGGCCCACCAGTGCAAAGTTAAAGTTGGCGCTAAAGTTGAGGCCGACAAAGTGATCCATCTGCTTGCAGTGCCATTCTAAAGGACGCCTGATCTCCATGAATACTTCTTCTGGACTCTGCAGGACAAATTATATGTTAAAAAAGACTCCTTATCAATGGCCATGTCGATGTATGGCCACAATATATTTCCTGCACACAGATGTTACTTTTGGCTACATGATGGAAGTCTAGTGCTAAATACTGAATCAAATATCTCTTTAACATACAAAAAAGACCAATCAGTTTTTTAGCTCCTGTCAGAGAAGTTCTACATAAAAGTAATGGGTGATGTGCAGTGCCAGACGATATTCTGACTGTCTTATAAATGAATGTGTTTACGTTCACTTCAATAACCTGATCACAGAGGGAAACCTGAGAAACACTGCAGTCATCTGGTTGCTTACCATCACCACTACCCACTTTTCTAAAGTCAAAGCGTGCCTACAGTGGATGAGCTGAAGTTAATAACTATATTCACATAAACAATGTTCCTGCGCATTGTTACAAACTAAATTATACATATACAAAGCAAAAAGTAGATTGTCACCCGATGGATGGTCTTTAATTCAAACAATATACAACTGCAGGAATGAAAAGGCAGTAAATAATGTTTTTTACCTTATCATTGAAAACACGCATTGTGTCCAGAGTGTGGAGGTTCTGCTCCAGCAGGGCCGTTCCAGCTGAGTAAAGGTTGACTTCATCCAGCTGCAGCACAGCTATTGCCACCCAGAACAGAGCTTTGTGCATGGGAGATTCCTGGGAGATTAAACAAATAAAGACAAATTTAATTAATATTACAAAGGGGATAGTGATAAACAAAGAGCCAATAAAGTTTTACTTTATAACAATATGATGTACAGAGTTACCAAGTTGAAAAGAAAGGAAAAGATCAAACAGTTTGAAACAATTTGATTTTGAACAGAATTGTGAATTTCTGAAAGGTTTCCCAACTGTGACAAAAAGTAGATCTATACTAGTTGAATACCTTGCTGAGTAGAGGTTGTAGCTTAGTCAGAGCAATGACTGTGGCCTCTATTAGTACTTGGCTGTTGTAATTGTCTGGCCCCTTCAGACAGCTCTCTAGACCCTGAAATGAAAAGAAGGAAGAAGAACAAAATATTAAACATAATTTTTCAGTTAAATGTTACCGTTTACACCGTACACAATGCACGGAATAAAGAAGTCAAAGAGACGGTGAAGTAAAATTCACAGGTGTATGTGAAGCAGCTTTACTCTACAAACGTCTATGTAGACACGTAAAGCACTGAAACACACGTTCACGGATCAGACTGCATGGTAAATGACTCAAGGCCCTCACCCGGTCTATGCTGAGCAGAGGGCTAGCCTTGCTTAGGATTCGAATGATCTGCTTGATCTGGCCATGGCTCACTCTTTTACTGATGCAGCCAAACACCACCAGTGCTCTGGGCTGAAGAGATGGGTTGTATTGGAATGCAAACCTGGAATCCAAAGACAAATAAATACCTGTTCCACACTGAAAATCTATGCAACTGAATGAAATACAATAGAACACAAGAAGATCATACTTTTGTGCAAGTTCTGTCCACTGGTCTAACCACTTGCAGCTTGGTATGTCCCTCATACAAGCCTGGACCAAAAACACATAACTCAATCAGTATTTAATAAACTAAATACACTAATTAGACAAACAGTCAATTTTATAATAATAACTTTTTATTAAACGAAAAAGGGTAGTAGGAAGGCAGAGAAAAAGCAAAAACATGTAAAAATCCTGATTTTCTCAGCTGACCTCCATGATTTCCAGTAAGGCCTCAGTGACGGTTTCGAGGGAGGACAGTGCAAAGGTCTCCCTCTCATAAGAGCCTGGTGAGAATGAGCGGTCTCTGTAGCTGGAGCGGAAGGCAATCACAGCGGCTGATTTGACTTTGCTGATGCCAAACAGCAGGTAGAACTTGGGCAGGGAGAACTCAGTCAGACTCAGCCTCAGAACCTGCTTTGTTTCCTCTGTATTCAACACAAAAACATGGTTCTTTTTTCAGGTCACAGTAGCCTACTCGCTTTTTGTTTTGTGTGTCCATTGTGTGCCTGCACGCCATGCAAACTCATGCATCTAGCTTTATGAAGATACTTCCCATTATTCACTGACCAATAAAGAAGAAAACAAATGAACAAACACTTCCTCACCACTGAAGTTGAGCTGAGAGCAGGTGCAGAGGGAGTGGATAATGTTGATGACCAAACCGTGAGTGGAGGCCCTGAGGGACAGAGGCCCAGTGGCTACTAGCAGGGTTACCACATGGAACAGATAAGGCAAGTGGGCTGCCACATCTAGAGAGTTGTTGAAGGACAACATGAGCATGTAGCGAGCCAAGATGGCAATGTCATCCCACATCAAGTGCTGCTCCAGTGTTGGCGTTGGGGACAGACACGTCTTGTCGATGATCTTACACATCCGCCCAATGACCTACCACAAAGAATAGGTGTAGAATCAAGGTTCAAGGTTCTTTATTATTCTTTATCATTATGTCTAGCATGTCTTGAACTGCCCAATTTAGGTTATGTCTTAGCATCTCATTTGGGTTAAAGGTCAGGATCAAGTCCTTATTCTCTCCGAAGCTTCGGCTCATTGTTTGCTGCATCTGCTTCTAAGCATTATGTCACCGAGTTCAAGGTGTCACTTATGCTATTATCTGAACGTTGCCTCAGTTGCGTCCTTCAATTAACACCATTATTATTCATTGTTTTTTCTACAGTGGACACATGAATACAGATGCTAGCTAGCCACATAACCTTTTGCAGTTTTTTGTTGCTTATTTTCACCCATTTTTCAGAACTGAAAGTTGAAAAAACAAATAAATAAAGCTTGGTCTGTTGGTACAGGGTTATTGATGCAGGTATCAGAATTTGTTATAGAATAAAATAATAACTCACAGGAGCAGAACAGTTACGATAAGAATGAGTGGAAATCTAGTCCCCAATAGTAAAATGTACTGTATTGCATATGAGATCTGATTTATGACATGAAAAACTATCCAATGTTTGCTCAGAGAAAGTCCCATGGGCTCTCCCCATCCTCCTCGTCTCCCCTGCAGACCTTGAGTCTGTGCAACATAGATTCATAAGATGGAATCTCCACGTGAGAAACCGTTTTTAGAAATGTGTTGCCTTTTCCAGCTTAATGTACAGTTACTAAGTGCCTGTGAAAGTTGTTGGGTGTAATGCATGCCTTACATCAAACACTTTATTTTCTTCTATTTTTCTAGAAGGGCAGTTTCTGTCATTATCAAGACTTTATGAGCATAAAGAAAAAAGAAAAAAGAAAACAGAGAAGAGCACATCCACACACCACACCCGATCTCTAAGAAGCTACGGTATTAAAGACGACTTCCACAGGGGTTAACTGGAAAAAGTTTACTGGGGGCATTACTCATGATATTCAATCAGATTGTGAATGTCTGTGAATGTCTATGTTCTCCGTAGAAGACTGTGGAAATGTCATTGAAAGCCACTTCCTCCTGCTGCTTTTTAAAATTTCAAGCGATCAAACGATTATTTAAAGAAAATGGTAGAAAAGCTTTATCCTTACACAACCACAAACGTACATTAAGGCCTTATAAGATGTATCTCCTTGCGTAAGCTAATAATAACTTCTCAAAAATTTTGAACTCAAGTAAAATTTTGTACAAGTAAAATCATGGTTTTATAGGAGTGCTTAATGCAAACTTAATAAATGTATCACTAGTAAACAAATAATACTAATCATGACCCTTATTAATCATTTTGGTTATGAAGCTGACATACTGCACTCTACAGCTATTCTAATCAGTTAGAAAATGGCATTTATTCAAGTTTTGGGAGACAAAGAGTTCAACAACAGCAAACAAGAAGCCATTGTGTCCAGTAGGCTGTACTGCCATGACATCATGCTGTAACTCTACAGATAACACCAGGATAAAGACTCAAGTAAGAAGTCTAATAGCTATGTACAATGCTCAATTTTATATATCGTTTTTCAAATTCAGTACAATACTTTAGTAAGACCAAACTGACCTGCAGAGAAAAACAATACTACAACTTAAAGATCAATTTTTTCTTAGTCAACAGTCTTCACAATGGCCACTATTGAGTGCAGTGATGGTGTCTGCTATAATCGGAGCCAGGGCCTTGGGTTTTCTTTTGTGTCTGCCTGTGTATATTGTGTTTGTTTATCCAAACAGCAGCTTGGATTTGGAACAACAGCACACAGATAATGGATAGTGATTAGATGAGTTTGTCTCTTTAGCTTCTACAAATCAAGAGTGAATCCCAGCTGGATTTATTTCTTCCATCAGTATGTAAGTAATTATTAACTGACTTTAACATTTAAATATATTTTATATTTTAGGTTTCTGTGTAGGAGTAGGAGTATGCCCTTGACCACCAAAATCTAATGATTTTTTCCTGAAGTCTAAAGACTTTGGCCAAATTTGTAGAGATTTCTTTAAGATGTAAAGAGAAAAAAATTAAGAATTTAAGGGACACCGTCACTGCAACCTTTGACCACCAGAGATTTGATGTTAAAAACTGTGGGACAATTATTGTAGGGTCTTTACAATTTAACGCACCATGAGGCAACTGTTGTTGTGATTTGATTATATAAATAAACTTGAACTGAACTGAATTGGGACTTGATAGACAACCCAAAGATGCAAGTCCTGTGGCCACTGTGGTTGTCAGTGTGGAAACATAACAAAGGCAAAAAAGTGTCAGCTGCCTTGGCTCACGTCCATGTGCATTTCTGCTTTTAGGCCACATGATGTGGTGGCTTTTTGTTGATTTTATTTTCTGTCCTGAACTACAGGCTCTCTGTTTCGACTGACCAGTAGCTGGCAGAGAAATTTTGCTCTTTACGCACAGCTGTTCTTCTAAATGAAAACTGTAGCACACATAGCTAGAACGTAGAGTATGAGATCCAGTTGCAGCACAGAAGCACGTTTTAAACTTGCAGCCTGAAAGCATTAATCATTAATCCATAATTTAAACATAGTATATCCTTAATTAACCATAACCAAATGAGCTGACCTGGACCAAGTAGAAGTGAGTCTATTAAGAAGTGTTAACACCAGGTCAGGGTTTGTGTGTGTCGGTCTATGTTGGTCTATGTTTACTCAAACAACCTGCTCTGCTCATTTAACAGAACCCCAAGTCACTTTCCATCATCAATACCATTAAATCCTCTCCACGAGTTGCAACATGATTCAACATGATTATTTTCTGTGTGTATTAGTTGCCAATGTGCTCTCACCTTGTTGGAGACCAATTTGACATTTCCTGAGGCTAGAGCCACTGCAGTATCAGCCATAACCTCTGCTTTGATGGAACCCAGGCCTCCTGTGGCACTGGTCTTAATAAAGCTGTCTAAGACCACATCCAGCAGGTCTGTTATCTGAAGATGAGATGGTTAGAAGGCCAGAATCCAAGAGACACATGTACTTATTTAGCTGCTGAGGGGCTGGGTAAACTTACCTGGCCAAGGCTGCCCCAGATCTTAGCCTGGATAGAGGGATACATCTGTTTTTCATTTATTGTCATGGTGATGAGTTTGTCCAAAATGGCAGTGACCCGCTGGCGCTTGGCATCGTCATTGTGCTTACAGAAGCGGACCAGGTTGAGCAGCCAGGGTGTCATGTACTCCAAGCAGAGATGCTTCAGCTCGATGCCTGCAAGAGAACAGCAGCACTTCGAGCTTACGGTTTATTTTAATGTTAATAATATATCACTATATTGCCAAAAATATTCAATGGTCCTGTCTTCAAACACTTATGAACTTAAGTTTATTTATTAAGCACTTTTCACAGACAGCGGGTAACAACAGGCTAAATAAACAAGAATATTAGGTGCCAAAATAGACAATACAAAATATTTAATAAAATACAGCAAAGTTAACAGGTGGCTTTAAAATAAATAAATACATTTAAATAAGTAAATAAATAAATACATTTCTGAACAGAAAGCCGGATTAAACAGAAATGTTTTTTTTTTTAAAGAATCAGCAGAGTCAACCAAACACAGTTGTGGTGGTACACTGATCCACAGCCTTGGTGCCACAGGCTGAAAGGCTCTGTATGGGGAACAACCAACCGACTCGGAGTCTGTGAACGTGGACAACGAGCAGCAGTGTATTTTGTAAGAAGCTGAGATAAATAATCTGGGGCCTGGCCATTTGGTGCTCTGTATGCTAAAACAAGAATTTTAAAATGAATTCTAAAATCTATTTGCGAGCCAATGTAGAGAACATAAAACAGGAGTAATGTGAGCACGCTTGCTAGAACGTGTTAGCAGTCTGGGTGAAGCACTTTGTATAGCTTGGAGGTGAAAAAGGGATGATTTGTCCAAGCTGGTAAACAGAGCATTACACTAAACGCGATGACACAAACGCAGTTCAGCTGAGGAGACCATATGTTGCAATTTAGAAATGTACCTTAAATGAAAGAAACAGGAACCAGACAAAGGTTTTACATGCAACTCAAATATTACTCCAAGGACAGAAAGATGCAAGAACCTGACTGACTTCAGAATGTAGTTCAAGAGGAGCTGCAATCACGGTCTCAGTCTTGTTGGTGTTTAAAACAAGGTAACAGATAGAGAGCCAATTTGAGTTAAGTAGTGGATTAGGGTGGACAACCTATCCAGTAGATGAGTCTTAAAAGACATGACAGCTTATCCATTGTATGCTAATGACAGCTGAATATGTCACTGGCATACAATGGATAAGAAATGTCACTAAAAGACTAAATAAGCTAAAGAAAGCATGTAGAAAGAAAATAATAATGGACTCAAAACTGAACCCTGTGGAACCCGGCAGGTCAGGAAGGAAATGTTAGAGGAGAACTTGTCTGTTCTAACAAAGAAGGTCCTATCAGATAAGTATGAAGAAAACCATTCTGGCTTTCTTTCTCTGGCAGAGCCATATACACCAGCTAAAGCTTTAAGCCTGTTAATCCCTGCATCAGAAGCCATTAGAAGATCATTACAGACCTTCAAAGGAGCGGTCTCAGTGGAACGCTGCCTCTGAAAGCCCGACTGAAAAGGGTAAAAATATGTCATCTGCATAGTAAAGATCAGAACTGATTTTCTACTATTTTTTCTAGTAATTTGCTTATAAATGGCCTATTGAAATAGGCTTAAAATAATTACTAGTAGAGCTGGATTCAAGATCATGTTAGAATAGGAAGGTCCATCCCCAAACCAGACTGTTCCCACAAAGTTGTGAGCATGAAAATGCCCTAAATGTCTTCGTATGCTGAATCAATGAAATGAAGCTCACAAATGAAGAGCTGCTTTTACTGGAACTAGGGGCCTGAGCACAGCTCTTGAAAAACAACAACACCACAATCAACGTCCACCAAACTTAATACTTGGCACAGTGCAATCAGTATCTTTCTCCTGGGAGCTGCCAAACCAATATTCGTCAATTGGATTGCCAAAACAATTGGATTGCTCTAGAGTCCAGTGGCTGTGTGATTTACACCACTGCATCCAAAGCTTTGCCTTATACTTGGTGATGTAAGGCTTGGATGCAGCTGCTCTGCCATGAAAACCTATTCCATGAAGCTTTTTGTGCAATGTTCTTGAGCTAATTTGAAGGCTTCATGAAGTTTGGAGGTATGTAGCGATTGACCATACAGAAAGTTGGCGACCTTTGTGCACTGTGCACTTCAGCATCTACGTAAAATCATAAACCATATTGTCATTCCCAAACGCTCCCCTCCCCACCACAGTTATGTAAAAAAAGAAACAAAAACCTTAAAACTTTATGCATTTCAGTGAGGTGAGCTGGTGGCGGTATGAGTACAATGTATCTATTCCCATTTAGAGAGGTAACATCTTTGAATAATAAACTGACGCAGTTTCATGACTGAGTGTATGTGAGAGCTTATGTATGGTAACCAGTACGATGGTAAGCAGACTTACTAGACTTGCTGAAGCCTGAGATGCACTCCTCCAGAAACTCCAGAGTCAGATGAGGTTCGTTGGCTGCCAGAGTTTTGCTGATGGAAACTATAAAGAGCGTATTGTTGGCTGGGATGCAGAGACCTGATGTCTCCAGCAGCTGGCCCTCTATCTTCAGATTAAAGGTGCAGGTCAAAGCACACAATAGGTTGTAAGCTGCAGATCTGGATATGAAACAGATAAGTCAGTGTAAAAACAGTTTTAGTCTTTACTTTTACAGGTTTGAGTTGAAAAACATAGGTGTTGTAAATGAGTAGATCAAAAGTTTTATTTCAGGTCAGTGAAGCTCAACTGAAAACTGGAAAGACAATAAGATGTGCTAAAAATGTTCGAGTTTTTCCTTTGAAACTGAACCACTTGCATTGGATCAAAAATATTTAGGCTCATGTTCAAAGTGCTGCGCAAAAGTCTTGAGCCATCCCTCATTTCTTTACATTTTGCTAGGTAAATGGGAAATAGATGCAGTGAGCTAGTGAGTAAAATACAGGCAAAACAGTGTTTTGGTCCACCCATATTTTTTTTAACAAAACAACTTTTAGGGAAGCTTTCTTGTAATTTCTTCAAGTAGTCTTCAGGAATACTTTTCTGATGTACAAGGACTAGACTAAAAGTAAGTATTTAAGTAAAAAAGGTGCCATTAAGAAGACATTAAGAAAGCCCAGAAAGCGATTGCTCATGTCTGGTTCTTTCAAGGAAAACAAAGAAATGAGGGGTGGTTGAACTAAACCTTTATACCTTAAACACAGTGTATATAAAAATGAATGTATCGCTAATCCAGTTAACTGCTGGTTTCTGAAATTTGACTTTGAAGCATTGAGGTTTTTGACCACTGCTATATTTTTTGCTTTGTATCAGTTTTATAATCTTATTTTCATCTACATGGGGCTATAATTTATGACGTAAATACAATGTATTCATACATTGTAGTACCTTAAATTTATGTTTTCATAGACATGTGAGCAATAGGGTTGTTTTATCAAACATTTATACAAGCAGGAGTCACTAAGTTTAAGGTGCTTCTGCATTAGGTTTACTTCCAGCAACCTTTATACAAAGTCTAAACTTTAAACCTAAAGTATGCTCAAATATTCATGTGTCATTGGTTCCGAAACAAAAAATCTCAGTTATATTTTAAATTAAACACATTCTTTGTTATTTTTACAGACCTACTTTATTCCCCATAAAGCCAAAGAATTTGGCCTAGAATAACAAAACAATGACCCTACAGGACAGACCTGAGGCTGGGGTCAGAACTGCCCAGGTTGAGAAGAGCAATGTTGAGGAGAGTGCCAGGCACATCTTTTGGTCGGATTTTAGTGTGCTGAGGGATGGAGTCAGGCTGCGACAACTCCCAGCGTGTCCGGATATGGATGATAGACTGAACTATGGCATCACACTCCTGGTGCATGAAAGTGAGGGGTGTGCCCTGGTTGGCCATGGTGAGGGTGAACTGACTCTCATCCACAAGGCAAATTTCCTCAATCTCGGAGGCATAATATACATCGTTGAGGAAGACAGGCTGGCCAAGGACGCGGGTGCGCTCAGCTGAGGTCACCTGAACGGCTGTTGAACCCACCTGGTCAAGAAGAAAATAAAGATGGTTAAAGATACACCTCTGTTACGATTTTAGTGATTTAATATGTTTATTTAGTGGTAATATTTCTATATCGCTCATTTTTAGTGCAAGTTCACTGGCTGAAACCTTACCTTAATTGAGACCTTGGTATCTTTGTGGGCCAGTTTGAGGGCATTGTGGAACACTTTAAGGTCTTCCTCCAGTATCAGTGTGGCTGCAGGCAGCTTCTGTTGGTCAGGTTCAATGTGCTCTGCCAACTTAGCTGGAGAATCAATGAACTGGAGCCGCTTGCTCCCTTTTAGGCCTGTCAGCAGCCGCTCATGATACTTGGTGTACTCTCTTACCCAAGTGTTGCAGTTGTAGACATAAACAGCTGCCACATTCTCATATGCAAAGCCAGGAAAGACAACAAACCACTTAGAGAGGAAGTCAGTCTTGAAACGATTGCTGGGTCCAACATGTGTTAAGTCTACCACTATCTCATAGGGCTTAGCATAGTAGGGTTTGAGGGTGAGAAGGACATGGTAGATGAGCAGGTCACCATTGATCTGGCCCGTTTTGAACCTAAAGAAAAGGGGGGGAAATTCATTATGGTTAAATACGAAATAGTTTTATTTTTTGGATCAGTTGTATAAATGTGAGGCTTAAATTGTTCATTGCATTCTATGTGGTTGAACTCTGAAAAGCTTCATTTCTGAAAAAGATTGCTTCTTTTTGTCTGTCCTTTTTTGTAAGAGCCCTGCAAGCCTCTGTGGTATCAAACCCAAGGCTCTGAAATAATCACACCCTCTGCAAAAAAACAAACAAACCAAAAGACAAAAAAAAAAAAACCCAGCAGAAAGAGGGGTCAGGAAGTGACTTCAGACCATCTCAACAGTCAGTTTGCAGCAGGTGTCACGTGCCATTTCTTCCCCAAGACCTCCATAGGACTACTTCAGGTAAGAATTTGTCATGCAGCATCTTTGAATCATATTAAAAGCACAAAAGTCAAGCATTTCCTTTAAAAAAAATTTATTTAACTAGAACTGTTCAAACAACCTTCTGATCATGAGCTCTTGTAGTGGCATTCTGGAATAACGTTCTACATTTTTTTTCAGCTTTACTTTTTCTAAAACAGTTTCTGAATTTCAGAGATGATGGAAGGTGCAAAAACTCTTTGGCTGTTTCTCCTGCTCAACCACCTGCCACTCTGCCCTGTCGGTGCTGACGCAGTCCTTTCAACAACTCAAATATATTCACAAGACTATTCACAAGACCAAAGAAGCAGCCCCACACTTGCTGTGAGTACTACCCTCAGAACAAGTGAAGACAAAAACTCCATCAATGGCACTCGTGGTGACTGCTTGGTTGACACTGAGATGGGTCTGATTGCTATAAGTTCAGCTGGAGGTCTCATTGTGTGCTTGCTGGCTGCTACTGTGGTACTGGCATGCCAGGTCTGCAGCCTTCAGCGCCAGGTTTATGGCCCTCGCACCTCACGGTCCAACATGGACTTAGTAAGCAGTACAGGCTACTGGGGCACAGACCAACCAGAGATTGCAGGCCTGGTTGGACCATATGATGCCAGTGTCATGCTTGAGGAGGTGAAAGAAGACAAGACTGAGGAAGAGAGGCAGGCTGAAACAAAAGGGACAATGGAGGACGATGGGGCAGGACTCAAGGAAGGGGCAATGGCAATAGCGTTTGATCCTGAGGACGATCAAAGTCATATGCACAGCTCCAACTTCAAGGACTCCTGTTTGGAGATTCCCAGGGATTTAGAAGACATGCCCCTTGTTGTGTAAGGAGGTAACCCTACTTCAGTAAATCCAGTCACATACACAACTAATCAGTTTAGCTGATTTAAAATATATTAACTTGGCTTGTTTCAATCACATCCTTTCCAACAGAGATGCACCAATTGTTAAATCATGGGCAAATATAAAATAAAATAAACAAATTATATTAATGGAGATTTTTTTTTTAATTTTTATTTTGCTCTTTTTTTGGACAGAAATAAATAACTTTGAAAGTCTTTCAAACGCATTCATGAAACGGACACAAGGAAAGAAAAAGCTATAATAGAGTGGTGACTGTTTTCTTATTTGCTGAAGGCAGTCAACAAAGTGAGAATGGAAATTTGGTAAATAAACTGATAATTTTGTTGTTGCATCACTATTCCTGTTTATTTTCATCTTGTTAAATGTAGGGCATCATATGCAATTTACTACATTAGTGCTGACAGAATAAAGAGCTTTGGGTGCACACACCAAAAAGCATAGTTTTTGCTTAGATAAGGATACCTTTAACATGTTACATAGTTCTATATCTCGTAGTAAATCTTTAAAGCCTGGTCCTGAGTGTTCAATTAAAACAGAAAGAAAGAACGAAAGAAAGAAAGACATAACTTTTAAACACATAACATAGCACGGTCCATATTTGTTGTGCGCATGATTTGCATCAGTAACATAACATAGCATAATAACTTACATAATGAACAAAAAGCAGATTAACAAAAACAAGGTCAACATACATTCACAGTTTTGAAGAGATAATGGGCTAAATTGATAATAGAAATGCTGGAAACTTAACTCTGAATCTGTTTCAGCTATGTCTAATCTTTTAAATGAATTTTCAACAATTTAATTATTGGTTATAACTTAAATACTTGTAATATTTGCCAGTTTTTAAATAAATTGACCTTTGTATTGGTGTCAGTGTTTCATGAGTCAAATCAATATTTGTCAATTATGAGCCCTACACACACACAGACAGAGAAAGTTGTGGTCAAAAGTTTCCATACACTCTTCATGGACATTTTGAGCTTTAAATGATTTCTTTCCATTGTTGTTTTCCCTGGTCGACTGAGTCTCATCAATATACCTTCAAGGACTAAAAGAAAAACACACAAAAAACAACCAAGAACTGGATGTACTGTAGAATTTATTTTGGATTTCATAATCATACATGACCAAAAATGTGCACACAAGTTCAAATATATATATACACCCCCCACTAATATTTGGCTACATGTTCCTTAGTTGCACCTAGACCAGATGCTTTTGGTAGCCATTAACAAGTGACAATTTGGGTGTTTTTCAAGAGCTTGGCAAAGTGGTGACACATCCAAATAACTTTTGTAAAACAGTTTCAACAGATATCAACTTCTTGAAATCTGCACATCTGTACAAAGGCTCCAAGAGATCTTACCAGCTTTGGAAAATCAATAGTTTCTTGGACTCATAGAGTATTGGTCAATGAAATAAGTACTATCAAGCTATTTCTTCTATGCTGACAAATACAAACTATGTCTTGTTAAAAGACAACACTTTGAGCTTGAATATATACTTTTGACCCTGTGTGGATTAGAGAAAATCCAAAATGTATTTGTGCAATGGCAATTATTATTCTTAAAATTTTTAAAGATCTATACTATATAATCATTCGACAACAAAACAGGCCACAACAGTGACTACTTATAGAACTGTTATTCTGCTTGATTAAATAACATGTACAAGCCACACACCTGTCAGTAACCCAGAAAACCCCCCACACATTCCTGTTATAATACAGTTCTGATTAAAAGTTGTTCTAAACTTCTAAACTGTATTGTACTTGAAAAATGGCAAAAAATATCATATTTTGCATGGTTGGATATTAACAAGGATCCAAATAGAGCTTCAACATAAAACAAGAAGAAATGGGAGTGAGGCATTTTTTTGGAGCATGCAATTTATTGAAACAATGCTTAAATTGAAACAGGCTGTTTTACAGCTGATCAAAAGTTTAGGGCCACATGCCTTAAAAAAGCCAAATCTGTGCAAAAATGTGGATTCATTGTCATCTTCTGTCAGGTAGTCAGACTGTTATGACGTTCTGATGGCAAAGGCAAAAAAACTTTACCTTTTTGAACGCGGTCGGGTTGTTGAACTGCATAAGCAGGGTCTCTCAGCGCAACATCACTGCCGAGGTGGGACCCAGTAAGACGGTCATTTGGAATTTCTTAAATGATCCTTAGGGTTATGGAACCAAAACGTCAAGTGGAAGACCCCCAAAAATTTCACAAGCACTGAGCTGGAGGATCCAATTGGCTGTCCGTCAATACACTGGACTATCCTCGACCCAAATTAAGGCCGTTACTGGTGCAGACTGCAGTCTCATAACCATCAGACAGCATCTGAGGCTGAAGGGCTTCAAAAACGTTACTGACATGACAAGCAGATCCCACCTGAGATGTTTTCTATGCGCCACAGTGGAGGGGGTGCCATAATGGTCTGGGGTGCTTTTTCCTTCAGTGGAACAATTGAGCTTCGGGAAGTGCAGGGGCGTCAAACGGCTGCTGGCTATGTCCTATGTGCATGTGCGTCCTAAACCTTTGATCAGCTGTCAAACAGCCTGTTTCAGTTTAAGTGTTGTTTTCAATAAATTGCATGCTCAAAAAAATGTTCTGTCTCAGTCCCATTTCTTGCACATTACATGCTCTACTTGGAATCGTGTTAAGATCCAGCCATGCAAAAATATGATTTTTTTGCCATTCTTCAAGTGAAGTGGTCTTAAACTTTTGATCAGGACTGTATCTGCCCTCCTTATGCAGTCAAAATATCTCTGACCTGTCAGGGCATGGGAAAGTGATCTCTGTTTGTATGTTTTTGTGTATCGCAGATCCTGTAGATTTTGTGGTTGAGAATGCAGTATGATAAGAAGGTGAGTTTACCTTTCACAGGCATCAATGGTGTGGCTAATAAATGTCCTTACCTTACTCAAACTATGTCCTAAAAAACAGACATGAGCTGCTACCATGCTGCTATTTCAGTTATGATATGTTACTGTTCTGGACATTTAAACTTAAAGAATGCCTTTTCCTTCTTAAAACCAAAGAGCACTCATGAAAATTTAAAATTCACACTTTTTAAAAGTCAATCTTTAGAATTTTACAGATTAATTCAGCATTGTTTCAGCAAACATTTTTAACGCAAGACTTGGTTGTAAAACATGAACTACTATATTTAACATAGGACACTGAGAATGATTTCACGTGTCACGCTTCCTGTAAGTGGTGCAAGAATCAGTCTCGAAATTTCAGCAGCGACAAACTGTCCAACCCCCAAGATCTTACTTCCTTAGAGACAGCAACTCTGCCAGACAGCAACAGCAATATTCAGCTTTTAATACACCCTGGAAGGACACAACCAACAGCTTTGAGTGTTCACCTGCGTACAGACACTGGTATGTAAATCTAAATTACTAGATTACTGATACAGTTTTGGGTCCAACTCACAGCTTGACAACTTTAAATTGATGATTATGTGAAATTGAGACATATCTATATCTATACACACACACACACACACACACACCTAAAAACTAAATGTTATGTGTAAAATGTTATTAAACAACAGAGGATACATAAATGTAAATTAGATGAAAATGGTAAAAACAGTGTTTGAAACTGGTAAATTGCGTACCCTTCAAACCTATGGTGGATTACGAGCATTTTGAGGAACTTACCATTTCCTAAAACATATTATATTGCATACCACTAAACGTTCTTTATTCAAATGATACTACTTCAGACTACGTGCTCTGACAAAATAATTTCCTCTGTTCTAGCTTCAGAGACACAGTAGCCATTCTGAGGACAACAATGACCACAGATTTTACAAGCCTCACGTTCATATGGCTGCTGCCACTGGCAGCAAGCAATGCAGTGACATCAAGCAATGCAGTGACATCTAATCAAAGTGAAGTCTTCAGCTCTGTGGTAACTGTAGAATCATTCTCTCACAATGAGCTGACAACACATACTCAGGCATACTCAGAGAAAATACCTGCCACGAAAGACGCACAACGAAGAAGTCAAACAATGCCCTCGAATACGATCCTACCTAATACTAAGACAGCACCAGCTCCTACCAGTTCTGCATCGCCTCACTTAAACAGTACTTCCATGGAATCCTTAACAGAAATACAATCTACAGTCATCAAATCTTCAATGACAGATCTAACTGGCACCCCAGCAACACCTACAAGTGTAACTCCAGTGATAATCAACTCAACCCAAAGCCAGAAGACATTAAGCACACATGTTAGGAGGCACACAAACCCCTATCCACCTACATTTTCACCGAAGTCTACAAAACTCATCTCTACTACTAACACATTTACCACACCTGAAGAAGAGAAGTCTGAAAGCATGAGTCCAGCTACAGGTGATGTGAAACATTCCACAGGCTTATACAAAACTTCAACATCCATCAACAATATCAGAAAAAGGAAAATACAAGAACCTTCAGAAACAAAGAAAACTAACCATGGTAAAGTAGTGGCCGGACTAATCGGTGGATCCCTGTTAGTGATGATGGTAGGATTCCTGATCATCTTTATTAAGAAACGGAAGCTTCAGAAGCAGCAGGTATCAACTACAGACTGGGCGGGTCCTTCGCCATTTCTAGAGGGTGGAGCTAACAATGGCCAGGTAACAATGAGGCCACCTAACCGAATTTCTGTAGCCAGCTTTCTACCTGCAAGACTGTCCAAAAGATTGTCCTTGCTTCCGGAAACAGATGAGGAGTTAGAAGACATGACTCAAGTTACTACATTTGGAGATAAAAACCAGGGGACCACATTTGGCCAAACAGTCGATGGAAATGATGGACCAGAAAGCAATGGGACTAATGCAGTTTTTCCTGAAATGAAAACCACAGTAGACATCGGACCAGAAAGCAATGGGACTAATGCAGTTTTTCCTGAAATGAAAACCACAGTAGACATCGCAGAGACTGCTGAAAACTGTGTTTCGGCTGTCTCTTTGCAAACTAACAACCCTGTGTCCACAAATAATTCAATCCTCCATCAAGACCTTTCTGCAAATTAGTCAAATCAATCTGAAGTCATGGAAAATATGTCTGAACAAATGAACAATGCCCTTATGGAACCTTAAGCAAACTTGATCTCTAAACAAATCCAGCAATTGTAGGGTACCAGTTATAACACCCTTCATTGGTTTCCTGGTAGCAGCAAAGGTAACTACAAAAACAGGAAACCATGTTGTTAGTGCATTCGGAAATAATTGAGATTGTGTGATGTTAACCATGATTTCTACAGCAAAACCTGAAGAACAACATAGTAAGGTTGATTAATTGTAGTTTTTTCTGTGTTAGTAAGAGTAGGAATATGCAAAATAATAATCATACGCTACATGTAGGAGCATTTTCTTGCTGCTAACAGATAATAACATTGCACAGCAAGCAGTTTTATTTACACTGTGTCATGTAACAGTGTGAATAAATACCATACCATGATGTGAACAGGAAGCTTCCTTTTTAACATTCATGTGAATAAGATCTGTCTCATTTCAAATACCATTCAGTTCGCTTGGCCACATCAAAAGCAAGCTCTGGTACATACATGCCTATCTTAATAATATCCGTTTTGCACAGTATGGCATATGCAATAGAAAAGAAAGAAAACTAAATATCCCCCAATAAAATTTCCTGTACTTACAATTGCATGTAAAAATCTGGAGGTGCGCTATGGCTTTAGTTTAGTTTAAATGACATTCAGAACCTTTCTGCAAACCGCTACTTTTTATCTTTAATTCCAAAAACAATTAAGCTTATGTAAACCTCAGAAGCACGTTTCTCAGGCAGCCTTTTATAATTTAGTTCAACATTAGTAACAGTGGAGCTTGTACAACTAATATAATGCAAATAAATTGTTTTAGCTCTCTGCTCGATTTGCAGAGAATTAAATTATTTCAAAAGAAATAATTTAAAAAATTTTCAATAACCTTTTTAAATTTCTTAAATAATTAAAATAATTGTTCCATTGTTCACAATTGGGTTGTTTCTTTACAATCACATTTGTGAAAGACAAACAAAAACCCCCTCATTACTCTAATTTTCCATTTCTGTTTCTCACTTACATAGCGTGGCGTTTTTAGTCAGCAATGGACCTAGTTGCGCAACCACATTTAGTTTAATATGGCAATACTGATCATCATTTAAGTTGATTAGAATGCTAGGTATTAAAAAATATTAAGAAAAAACAATTTTATGTTTAACAATTATCCATTTGATAATTATCCAATACTTTTTGAGTTAATGAATTAAATTGCATAAAACCACAAAGCTTTCAAAGACTAATCATTGATCGTTGTCTTTACAAGTTTTACTTCTCTGGCGTGGTAGTATAAGTATAGGTGCCACCATCATAAAACAGAAGCTCAGACGTGACCTGAAGTATCTGTGTGATAATAAGAGCTGTACCAATTCTCCAAATAATAAGGGAAGGAGGGTAAATTCTTCCTTTATTGGTTCCTTTAGCATAGTGTACACTGGACCATACTTTAAGAAAAGGGAGGAGAAAACACCACTCCATAATTCACTGAGATGGCCCATCTGACCATTCATGACAAAACACAATATAATTTAAAAAAAAGTTGCTCAGCTCTGGTAAATGTTATCTGTGAGTGCCTTTCCCCATTTTCATTGAATATCCTCCTGATATAGTTTTTAACAACAGTTCATTAAATTCACAGCTGAAAGAAGAACCTCACACTGCTGCAATAAAAACTACTTCTGATTGAACTGTAGCCTTGCACGAAGAACACAGAATGCTATATAAGCTCAAGATCTATATTAATTAATAATAGTACTTAAGGTTCTGTGCAACTGGTGCTAATTAGTAAAGTCCTTTGTTATATTGCAGTCTTTAGTATAATTTTACTCCAGAATAGTCTGCTGGAATAAGTGATAGATAGCACTGCCTTAACAGGCATGATAAAATTAGTTACCTAGTATCACAACAGTAAAATATAACAAATAAGATGAATTTAATTTTAGATGCTATGGGACAGATTTACTAAGTGAGACAAATTACTGTGATGTCGCAATTGCTGGGGGATCTATTAAGAATGTGCTTTATTTTTATAAAAAGATGCAGTTAACTGCAGTAAAAACCAGCCTTGTGCCAAGAGCAACGCAAATTAGTGGCTCAAAATTCCAGTTTAAGCTCAGGTTTCACACAAGTGTTTCTCTCTGAAAACAGCGTGGCAATTCGGATAAATGTGAGGAAGCTGAAAGAGAATCAATATCCTTTTGATTTAAGAAAATAAGTCTTTCTATGCAAGTGCTTTCTATCTAACATTCACACGCAATCATACTCCAACTGATGCATCGGAGAGCAACGGGGTGTTAGTATCTTGTGAAAGGATATTTGGCATGCGAGCTGTAGGGATGGAACCCCTAACCTTCAGATTAGCAGATGACCTGCCTTATTACCTGAGCTAAGATGTACAGAGAACACAAAACATTATTTACCATCAGATTATGAGTCATCTTGTGTTACTGTGTCATGTGCATGAATGCATGCATTGCAGTTTTAATAGCACATTGCAACATTCAGGCATAAACCTAACACACTAACACCTATTTCTTACACATTCAGCAGAGAAAAGTTGCTTGATGTGTGCGCAAAGTTCATTTCTGCTTTTTCATGAAAACAGTGTAACCGAGGAGCAATAGGTGGGGCTCACAGTCTGATGGACGGACCAGTGGAAACTCTGCATGCAGATTATCTTGCCATATTTAATCTGCATGTTTAGTAGCCTTGGAATTTGAAAACTGATGATAATTCTAGTCATGATGCTTTTACTAGCCTGTAAATGTGTAGTGGCTTAATTTTAATCAGCAAAGTCCACAGGTCTACACAATTTTTAAAAACAGGGATTTGCTTTGCTTTTGCTTTGAAAAGAAAATGCAAACCATGATGCAAAGTGGTTTATGTATACTCATCATAGATATGAATGTAAAGGTAATTTGGAGCTTTTAATGTTTCCTTTGAACTGTTCTTTCTAGTGTGATTGATTGAACACAGCTTTAAGAACTTTATAAAAAACATTATGTGTGCAGGGTTTGATTTATTTAGAATTTTCTAAAACACAGGATCATAAAACAAACACTTTTGTTTGCTAGTTGTGGTATTTCATGTGTCGTATACTAAACCAAGTGTGCTGAGTCCAAATCTGTAGTCGGATTTTGTCTAGGATGTCAGGTTCTGAAGTTATACACAGAATCATTGGCTATTCATACAGACGGAAAAGGAAACTGATTTTATAGTCGTTATATGGGCACTGTACATAACTAAATTTTGATTTAAAACTGTGAGAGATTACAAAAACTTGTACACTTTAACAAACGTGTAAATAGATAGTTCACTTGAGTGTTTATGGAATGTACATACACTGTTAAAAAGTGCTGTAGGCACTTGCTTTTGCGCTTGTGAGTCTCTGCTGTTGACCGCTACAGAAGCCAGCAGTAATTGCCCATCATTATGGGGTTGAAGTGGCCTTGATATCTTTTCTCCATGCTGGCAATATCCTGGTGGAATTGTTCTCCATGTTCATCACTCACACCACCCAAATTTGGAGTGAAACCCCCCCCCGCTATAAATGCATTTTGAGTCACATTCAGCAGCAGAGTTGCTGATATGCTGCTAACATGTTGCTTACAAGTTCAACATAGTTTTCAGCCTGATGGTTGCCAAGAAAGTTTTGCACAACTAGCACAGATGCATCCCAAGGGGCGAATTCATGTTCAGTTTGGATCTGAATGTGTCATCACGCATCATTTAGCGGATTTCAGGACCAACAAAAATTTCTACTTTTAGCATCAGTTTTGGTTTTTCCAAATGGAATGGAAGCCATTTCCATTACGATCCATTGCCAAGACAAAGTTTTTCATTAGGCCTAGTTTAATGTGAAGTGGCGGAAAGTACACTTTTAGTGGATCAACTAGTAATGCATGTAGCACATTGTATCGGCCAACAGTTTTTTTTTTCTTTCCGACAACATAGTATTTTTTTCTATTGCAAAAAATATTTTATTCTATTGTATATAGCACCTTATTCTTAATATCTTATCCTATTCTATTGTTATTCTTAATTTTTGCTACTGTAACTTTGCACTGTCCACTTTCTGCTGTGACACAACAGATTTTCCACATGTGGAACTAATAAAGGTTTATCTCATCTAACTCTGGGTGGCTACTGCTTCACTTTGTAATGATTGCGATCATCACGAATGTTCCATAGGCACAGAAAGCACATGTGTTCTGTGTACCCCAACTGTAGACCCAACAGCAGTGCCACAACCTTCAGGTCATCACAAATATTCCAGTTGATCAGCTTCAAAATGAGTTCCATTGACTCATATGTCTCTTTCATTCCCACAAGCAAGTAATCCTCATAGCATCAAAAGTAGACATACAAGCTCAAATGAATTCATACGCTAACATAAATCTTCTTGTTAGTGACCGCGATTGATGAACTGGCAGTTTCTTTTTTCCAGCATAAAAGGCTTTGTTTGACCGCACTGACTGGCTAGGCCAATACTCAGAAGAATGATAAAGTCCAAGCAACTCAGTGAAGATCTAAGAAGGAGAACTGAAGATTTACAAAAACTGGGAGGAACTCTTCCCATGAGTTGGACATAGAAACAACTTTGCGATCCCGTTCTCTCAGTCAATACCCAAAGCTCTTGACTATAGGTGAGGGTAGGGACGTAGGATCAACCGGTAAATTGGGAGATATGCTTTTATCATAACAGGATGTCTGCATCACTGCAGCTCCAGCCCAAATCCATCTGTCAATCTCTTACTCCATTCTCTTCCACTTAAGGCAGCAACTCATCCCTGACCCAGAGTGAGCACTTGGACCCTTTGCCGCCTGAGGACCATGGACTCAGATTCTAATTTCTGCTGCCTCGAAATCAATAATCTAACAGAACCACATCATCTTCAAACAGCACCCCACTTAGTGACTCCAAGAAGACTGGGTACTCTGAACAGCCACCAGTGAGAACCCAAACACACTGGCAGCAAGCCAATACCCTGCCAGCTCAAAGAAACCATTAAAAAGGTGTGTTTGACGACAACTGTAACCCTTACCAAAGAAATACTGGCCAATCATAGGCCTACAAACACTAACATGGTGCATAGACTGACATCAGAAAAGGTGGTAAAGGCACACACCTTTGATGTTGCAAGATAAGTTCTTAGTTTTTCTTGCGTGCACTTAACAGCAGAAAAATAGGTTCAGAACAACTTGCAAGAAGTTTTTCGAAAGTTCATTTTTTAGTGACCTAAAACACACCTTGTTGTTAAAAAGCCAATAGAAAGCTGTTTAAAAAGCAAACAAATCTGTATTTGTGGACATGGACTACAAAGCAGCAATAAATGTATTTACACATGTGTGTGTGTGTATATATATATATATATTAGGGGTGCAACGATATTCGTATCGATATTGAACCGTTCGATACAGTGCTTTCGGTTCGGTAC